GGCCCGAAAGTGATGATTACGATGGCCCTGGTCTACTATGGGTTGCCCTGGTGGAGGACATTGATTTTGGCAGCATGGAGGAGTCTAGATTTTGGGACATCTATGACTACAGGGAGGGCATGCATGTTTGGGCTGACGCCAACAAGGTGAGACGAGACTTGACCTCCCTGGTTACAAGGGAGTGGGAGCTGGAGCAGGACTACCAACACCTGCTCAGCTCAATTCGACCCCAATTTACGTGGCAGGCAGACCCAGATTTGCCACCTTACAGCTGGGAAGACCTGGCTGAGTTATCCCCTACTTCACTACCAGCTACCGAAGGAGGGGATCTCATAGACTGGTCCTGGGAACACCTCCAGACGGCAGGTGGATATGGGACCTAGGTCTCTCCACCAGCCCTACAGGGAGGCTGGGTAGCCGGGCCAGATTCCCAGCTACAGCCGGAGTTACTGGGACACCCGACATCAGTGTGCCGGTGTGTGCAGGACTTCTGTAAGGCTGTCTGCACATTGTTAGTTCATGAAATTATTCCTTTTTCCAACCGGGAAAAGCTTAAAGACATGGCTGACTACTTTGAGAACAGGTAGGGCCTTCCACAGTGTGTTGGTGGGTCACACATACCAATAATAGCACCACAATAATAGCACCACAAGAATACCACCCTGACTACTTTAACAGGAAAGGCTGGTGTAACGGCTACCCAGGTTGTAAGGGGGTATCAGCCGTTGGAGACGTCCTTTTCCTGGCAAGCTGCTGTGTAGTAATGGAGTTTATTATTCCCATCCACGAGATCCAAGATTAAAGTCAGGCATAGCTGTAAAATGGAGCAAGGTAATTGTGCAGTAAATCCCCTTCCAAGAACGAGACAAGGCTACGTTTTGAAGGGTCAAGCAGAACTGGCTTTTATTGACAGGGATTCTCCTTTTATGCAATTCTGCCCTTGGGAGGGCGACACCTACATAATTAGTACAATGCCCAATCACAAACATGGTACATCCCACACGTCTCCTTCCCTCAGATAAACAGTTAACATAATTAACACACACACATTTTTACCCAAGTTTTGGATGTACCCCAAATACTTGGAGTACACCCTTAAATTCAGTATCCCCAGATAGCCCTCATCTGGGGGAACAACATATTAAAAAATCATCCCATTCGGTTAAAGTGTTCGGGAGTTATGGGACTTTAAAGTTTTGACCGACCGCATAGGCAAACAAGCCAAAAATAGTTCCATACGTTTTGGCCTTGCGGTCGGTCCTCGTTCGTGCGATGAAAAGGCACGAAAATCCTGCCATCCGTGCGTATCTTGCTGATTGCTGGAATCCCTGTACGTACTATACCCTATCTACCGAACGGCAGGGCGTTCGGTAGTTTCAGCACGAATTTAAGGTGTTATGGAGGTTTCAGCGGTGTTCGCCTACTCGAGTGTCTGATTTCAGTTCCAGACACTCGACGGCAAATCAGAGCTGTTCGTGCGTTAAGATGGCCGCGAACACATGCAAAGTCCCGAAATGGCGGCCGCCTAGGATCTAAAACAAAGGATTTGTGCATCTCCCATACGAATGGCATATGCCGGTCTGGGAGGTAAAATACCACTTAATTGAACAGCAGGGTGGTCCAGTGTTCGGCACTTTGTATTCGTCTTTGTGCCTGCTGCGTCTCCACGGCATGGATTGCACAAATAGACGAATACTGGCAACATAAGTCCCGAACTGTGCTATAATAATCCACATAACCAGGTAAGTATATTCCCTTGTATTATTAGGCTTAGTTATTGTCAAATATGTCCAGGGAGAAAGTACAGTTCTGTTACAGCTGGCATCATCCTTCAGGGAGTAGTGGATGGAAAATAGCTATTCTGGAGTGTGAATGTAGGAAAGCCTGGGAGTTTGCATGAAGCACAGGACATAGTTTAAAATGCATTTGGGAGACGTAAGGGTTGGTGGTGTTGTCTTATGTGACATTGAACTTGTCAAATCCATGGTGCTTACTTGCTGTGATCTTTGTGAAAGTCATGGAGAAAACTTCCACCAGGAATGGGATATGTCTGCAGAAGAGCCAGTATGGGTAATAGCACAGGATCGCGAAGAAGAGTGCAGTGAAATACGTCAGGCCCTGATGTGACACCGCAACATTTAATTTTATACCATGATTTGTTTAAAGTTTTACATTTAATCAGACACACCCACAGTCTCTACAGCTTTTTATTCCACAAAAAAATAATCTTTCAAAATAAAATTACAAATAAAAAAAATGTGGAAAAAAAATACAAAAACCATTAAAAAGAAAAAAATATTCACAAATAAACCATTTTTACATAAAACAAAAAAACTATTTTTACAAAAAAAGTGTACAGGTCCTGTGCTGGCCGAAAGGTACTACTGCCTGGGTGGTGGCCTGGGATGTTGACTGCCTCCCAGCATTGGAACTAGCTGCCCAAGGACACCAAGGAAGGCCTGGTTGAAGGTAGCCAACTGCTCCATCTGCTACTGGGCGATTTTTGCCTCCTGCTGCCTCGCTTCCTGGGCATCCTGAAGCAGTGCCTGAAACAGCCGCTCAGAAAGGTTCTCCATTCTTTCCTGCTGCCTTTCATCTGCTGCCCGCATCTCCTCTATGACTGTGCGCACATCCAGCTGCAACACATAAGAACCGTGTAAACACAAATTAAAATAAACCCAATAAACACAATATATATAACAGAAGCTTAAAATACAATGAAGAAAATTAAATAGCAGTATATACAGACAATGTACAATTATGATTATTGATTACTAGATTTAGGAGAGGTCTACCTACTGGAAGCCGGTCCCTGGTCTTGGGCCCAGAGTAGGAGGAAGACGGCGAGACCCCAACCAAGCTGTGGTGGGTCGTGGGGTCTTTGGTGGTTATGGTGTCTAGTGGAGTGCTTGGAGCCCTCGGGAATGGAGGTACCCAGTCGGGGTGCCAGTCAATCCGTTGCACTGATTCTCAAAGAAAATCTACATTTGCAGATACTCTGTTACTTTTAAGAGGTTTCACTATTAATTTGACTATAAATATTGAAAGGATACCCAATAGTAGGAGAATGCTTATGTAAAAGTGGCCGAACTACATACACATATGCAATTATCTATGAATTGGAGTGTATTTTGTAAATATCCCTAGTTTCAACCTTTGTTTTTCCCTCACTTCAATAAAAAAAAAAAAAAATAGTTCATACCACTGTTCAGTTTGCCTGAATTAAAGTACTGATAAAATTCTGGAAAGCCATTAGGACTCAAATAAAATCAGGAAAATGTTGCATAACAAGGAACAAGTCGGATGTAATTAATCACACAATCACCCTTTCCACCCTAACAAGAACGGAACGCTTTTCTTAACATTTAGCAACAATAACTGTTTTTTTTAAACTGTACTCTTGAGGCAGCAGCAGTCAGTTAATTGGAAAAAAAGGTATTAAAAAATTTAATAACAGGGTTGAACATGTGAGTGGGTCATCTACTGCACACTGACTTTTTCCTTTCATTTTCTAAAAAAACCCACTGTTTTCAAATTAAAATACTCCTGCTGCATCCTGAGTCAGTAATTATAAAGAGAGAGAGTAAGCGCTTAATAACAAGGTGAGGCAGCAACCCTTTAAGGGAATCCCTCAAAAAACCCTTAAAGTACAACAAGAATAAAAACAGAGATAAGGGATGTGCCAAAATGGATCAATAAAATATATGATAAAATATGGAGGTAATGCGAATAAAAAGTCTTAGCTGAACAGATCTTCCTTAGATCAAATAGTCTATAAAAGTGCTTGCTTTTATCTTCCTTAGATCAAATAGTCTATAAAAGTGCACTGTCCTTGCTGTCCTTCCTCAGGTAGTTCCAATAATATGAAAAGATAAAACAAAATAGAAAACCAAATAGTGTGGTATGTCCGATAAAATGCAACAAGTGATAAAAGAAGATAGTATTGCACTCACATGTATTAGAGCTATAGCTAGCTCTAGTGTGGAAAGCATACAGCGGTACAATACCCGCTTATGGGATATTGTGCAGGCTTCTTCCTTCAAAGGTATGTTCAACATAATAAAAAGAGATGACCAATAGTGCTCTCTGGGTAAAACAGTAATAAATAAAATATATAAAATCGTACTCACAAGAATGGAGCAGGCAAACTAGGATTACTTGGAGTCCAGGATAATATAAATGACAGGTAAAAAAGTATAAAGTGTATTATTAAAAGATGATTGGCACAATAAAAGGTGACCAAAAATTATTTAATGAATAAAATACACAGTATAAAATATCCACAAACACGTTTCACCTGGAAGGCTTCTTTAATATGAAATAGAACATAATACCTGGCAAGGTAAGTATAAATAGGGGTACAAATGATTAAAATTGGTGCCAAAGCTAAGGGCAGCCAGTAGGAATACAGAATTACATTTGGAAAATAAAATAATGTAAAACATATTTTAAATAATGTTTATAACAAATACACAATTGGGATAACTTAGTGCTGCAATTTGAAATTAAAAACGAGGGTTATTTGCTAAGATTTTGGTGTTTATTTGCAGTCACGTGAGGCTGATGGGAAATGTAGTGTATAGGGACGCATTGTGTGACCAGGGAGATATAATTAATGGTAAAGTGGTAGTGTGAGGGGGCGTTGGCACACAAGTACGTGCAGCCAACGGGTAAGCAGGTGGGCGGGTAAATAATTGAAATCAGGACGTTGGCGCACGCAATGGCCGTGGCCAACATCAGGGAAGTGAAAATGTTGGCGGTACATATAGAGGAAGTTCCGTCGAGAGGAGTAGCAGCCATATTGGTGGAACAGTGCCAAATAAGAAAACGGACATATTGGGAGGGGAAAAAAGGGAATAGAACATGATAATGAATAAAAATGAATAAAAATTGAAATAGCAGCGAATGTTTAAAAGGTTCAGAAATAAATCCATTAGAGCATGTAAAAGCATAAATGCACATAAAAACATAAGAATAGTACAGTATATTTACAGGAAATTAAATAAATCTAAATCAGCATTTAAACTATGGGGCATAAGGTTCTGAAGCTTATACACCAATTCCATTTCAGTTCTTCCAAGAATGTTTTTTATGTCTCCTCCTCTCCAAGGAGTAGTGCATTTTTTTATACCCATACATTTTAACATTCTTGGATCTTTATTATGTTTGATAAAATGTTTGGACACTAAATGATTCAGATATCCATTTTTAATGTTTCTGCAGCGTTCACTTAATCTTATTTTCAAGCACCTTCTGGTCATTCCAACATACTGGAGGCCACAAGGGCATTCAAGCAGATAAATAAAAAAATTTGTGGTACAATTGATAAAATCATTAATTTTATAAACCTTATTCGTTACTTTTGAAATAAATAGAGTTACTTTCGATGGTATTGTAGGATCAGTGGTTTTACATACTACGCATGATTTACATTTACAGAAACCCTTAATTTGGGGGAATAAGGTTAAAAGGGGTTTGTTTTTTGTTTCTCTAGTAAAATTCTTAGTTAAAATTGGTTTAAAATAAGGAGCTCCTCTAAATACTATATTGGGGTGTTCTGGTAAGATCGTATTTATTTTTTTATAATTTATATTTTATTTGGATTTGTACATTAGTGTACTCCTTCATCATTGTATGGTTAGAAAAAGAAAATAGGTACATACATAAAAGGAAAAGCTTGGCGCAGCAAGTGATGGTATACAACATGTGAAGCATGGAACCACAGGGATCAAGCTAACACTGTTACATCTTAGGTTCACACATGTATAAAGTCACTGTGGTGTAGGCTGCATGGAAACTTGCTTAAGTGTGGCACCCCAGCGGTCGTAATGGGGCATGTCTTGTGGTCACTAGGCCAGTCACCGGGTCTGGGTATTCCCTCTGAGATGACCCAGATGACCCAGATCTCCTGGCTCTGCCTCTGAGGCTGTTGCTATGTCCTTAGTCTAGTCAGCCCCACAGGGCCCCGGGTGTACATGGTGCTCATGCACGGACACATGGGTCCAGGTCACGGGGCCACTCTGTCTCTGGCTTGTATCCACGGTACCTAGACCATGAGTCTTCTACTGCAGACAGGTAGTCTCTGTACATTAAACCCTACGTCCAAGTAGGTATATGTTGCATTGTTATGGTCATTTGGGCTAAAATGTGGGTCCCAATAGTCCTATCTTGCACACCTATAATACAGTGTATATAATGCGATATAATAATCTGTAGTGCCTATTACTGTACCTATGTAGCAGGGTCGTCTCTGTAGGCTACGATATATAACACCTGCATGTAGTCTCTTTACTGAGACCATGGATCAATTGGTTTATATATAACCTCACTATACTGAACTTTAGGACTCTCGTTGCACATTCTTTTAGTCACTGTGTTATTATTCCTCTGGCCCGTGGTGCGCAACCCTGCCATAGACTACCCCTTCATGCGAGGGTCGAGAGTGGTAAAGTCACCTGCTGTAGGCAATTAGTCGCTGTAAGCTAGTCCCCATGGTCAGTTGGGTGTGTGCCACATTCTTATGCTTGCTTGAGCTGAGAGATGGGTCCCCCCAACCCCTCCCTGCATACATCTTATCTGTTAAAACCAATAGTTAATGTTAGTGTCTGTACTGAGTATTCTCAAAAGTGTTGACTCTTTTTTTAACTAAGAAACAACATTGTGTCCATATAACTTAAAACTGAAAGCAAGTAGAAAAAAAGAAAAAGAAGACCATTGCATCGACTAACTGGAGCTGATCTCAGACCTACTGGTCACAGCCTTGTTATTCCTCAGGTCACAGTTAATTTGCCCTGCACTGCTTTTGTGCGAGGCATCATTCACATCAGGCAATGCTTCTTGTGAAAAGCAAACCCAGAACTGGTGTGTGTTTTTTCTATAGGGCTCGGCAGCTGTAACCAACACCTCCCATCTCATCTCATTGATTGGACTCCAGTTGGCTGACATCTCACTCCAATTAGCTCTCAGATGTCATTAGTCTAGGGGTTCACATACTTTTTCCACCTGCACTGTGAATGTTTAGATGGTGTGTTCAATAAAAACATGGCAACATTTCATTCTTTGTGTTTTATTAGTTTAAGCAGACTGTGATTGTCTATTGTTGTGACTTAGAGGATGATCAGATCACATTTTATGACCAATTTGTGCAGAAATCCATATCACTCCAAAGGGTTCACATACTTTTTCTTGCAACTGTATATTAGCTGGAGTCGCGTAGCGCCGCACGCGCATGAGCTATTATTAGTGTAGGGAGAGGATGCTGCAGCTGTTAGGGACAGATTAGGAAAGAATTCTGTTGAATCTGCAAACTACAGCAATTATTTTAGTGGGTGCTATACTACATTTTTGTACCCTGCCCTGAACCCAGTGCCACAGAGAGTGCAGTGCACTTGCAATGGCATGTGTGCCAGGCACATGACTTTAATCCTGTTCTGGTAGCCCAGTGGGCAACATTTAGGCATTTTTAAATAATGCAATTTTTTGGGTGCTAAATAGTACATTTGCGTTCTGCATTTCTTGCAGTCTAATAAAACCCTTAAATACTACTGTTGTCGGTTGTCATGGGCCCAGCGGTCCTGGGGGGCCCGAACTGCTACCGACCCGGTATGTACCCACTGTGGCCAGCCTTTTCTCCTGGGGGGGACCAGCAGCCGGTCACCTCAGGGCCCCCCGAGGTGACCATGCGGAGCGTTGCTCACGAATCTTTGACAGAGCAGAGCATCTGGGCAGTATATTTCAAGTGTGCTGGGCCCCCTGCAGAATACAGGTAGCGGGGGGCCCGCAGTGCACACATATATAGCATTAATCGCTATATATGTGTGCACATAGCTAATGTAAACAGTGGCGTACACACAACCCATGGCCACTAGAGTGACATACATACACACTCAGTGACATACATACACACACTAACTCACAAAACACACACTCACTAACAGACGCACACAAACTAACACACTCAATAACAGACACACACAGTTACACACTCACTGACACACTCTAACACACACACTCTCTAACACACACTGACACACACTAACACACACACTCTAACACACACTAACACACACACTAACACACACACACTTTTTTTTTTAAGTTTCATTCCCCCAGCCTTCCTACCTTTGGGAGTGCTGAGGGGATCGTGGCTCTCTACACTTCGACAGAGCAGAGCATCTGGGCACTATATTTCAAGTGTGCTGGGCCCCCTGCAGAATACAGGTAGCGGGGGCTGCACCATTCTTCAGGACCTCCGGCTCCAGGGCTCCAGACAATGTGATCTCCCCCCTCCATAAACACAGGTGAGATACAGGGAGGGGGGAATAAAACAATACAATTAATGGATGGAAATAAAACTGTAGGCTTTTCTCCCTGCATTTTACAGCCCCATACATTTACACACACAATACACTAACATTTACACACAGTATACACTAACATTTACACACACTATTCACTAACATTTACACACACTATTCACTAGCACTTTGGGCGGACTCGGGTGCAGGCACTGGGGAGCCCAGACCTTGAGCTGTGTCAGGGGCCCCATAATTTCTGATGGCAGCTCTGCCTACACAGCCATGGTCACCACATCCTCAACCTGTGGGTCACTTAGTATAAACTATGTACACAATAGCAGAGGCTTGTGAAGACCTTTTCTCCATGCATCAGGAGTTGAGCTCCATTTGAACAATGAAAGAGAATACCCTGCACTCCAACCCTCTCTCAAATGGATAATTCTGGTGATCCTCCTGGCAGCCATGCTTTAGATTTTGATTTATGTTCTTCCAAAGCTAAAATCTAATTTTATGGCTCAGCTGTATTTTTATTTCTTATGTATTTTATGTTATTTTAAGTGATTTCCCTATCCACATTTGTGTGCAGGGCACTTGTCCTACTCTTACCCCCATTTTGCTTCCTTTTGCAGCCCTCTAGCCCTTTCCAGGACTTTTTTAGAGCCATTTTGGTGCCCAAAAGTTCGGGTCCCTATTGACTTCAGCCCGAACCCGGACTTTTTTTCGAAGTTCGGCCGAACCCGCAGGACCCGAACATCCAGGTGTCTGCTCATCTCTATTCATAAGTTAAAATTATACCTCTTTTGTTAATATTAAGATGGTTAATAAAAGAAATAAAATGGTCTTCTGTACCTTCCCAGATAAAAAAGAGGTCATCAATATATCTAAAATAGGAGACTAGGTTTGCCATCCAGGCATGGTCACTAAAAATGGCTCAGACTGCCAGTGGTCCACAAATACATTTGCGTAGCTGGGGGCAAACCTAGTCCCCATAGCACTCCCTCTCTTCTGGAGGTAAAAAGAATTAAGAAACAATAAATAATTGTTTTTTTAAAATAATATCTGTACCTTCAAGTATAAAATCTATTTGTATATCAGCTATTTTTCTTTCTTTTGTTAAAATCTCGTTGATCGCTTGGTATCCAACATTATGGGGTATGATAGTATAAAGTGATTGAAAATCACATGTAACGAGTATAAAATTAGGTTTCCATTTAAAATTATTTAAAAACTTTAATAACATGGAATCTTGGAGATATGACCTCAATTGCTTACCAGAGGGTTAGAGGATGGTGTTTATATATTGTGAGAGGTTACAGAGGAGGGAGCCTATACCTGACACAATGGGTCGTCTCGGGGGTTTCGTTTTGTTTTTGTGTATTTTGGGGAGAAAGTATATAACAGGTATTACAGGGAACTATTCATTTAAAAAATGTAATTCATGTTTATTTAACATTTCTAAATCTAAACCTTTGTTTAAAAATTTAGTTAAAATTGCTTGTATCTGAGTTGTTGGCGGCAATATAAAAAAGATTGTAAGGAAGCATTGGTATATTCTAAAACAGGATGAAACCCTTAATAAGATCTTACCAGAACACCCCAATATAGTATTTAGGGGAGCTCTTAATTTAAAATCAATTTTAACTAGGCATTTTACTAGAGAAACAACACAAACCCCTTTTAACCTTATTCCCCCAAATTAAGAGTTTCTGTAAATGTAAATCGTGCATAGTATGTAAATCCACTGATCCTACAATACCATCTAAAGTAACTCAATTTATTTCAAAATTAACGAATAAGGTTTATAAAATTAATGATTTTATCAACTGTACCACAAAAAATATTATTTATCTGCTTGAATGCCCTTGGGGCCTCCGGTATGTTGGAATGACCACAAGGTGCTTGAAAATAAGATTAAGTGAACACTGCAGAAATATTAAAATGGATATCTGAATCATTCAGTGTCCAAACATTTTATCAAACATAATAAAGATCCAATAATGTTAAAATGGATGGGTATAACAACATGCACTATTCAGTGGAGAGGAGAAGACATAAAAAACATTCTTGGAAGAACTGAAATGGAATGGGTGTATAAGCTTCAGACCCTTATGCCCCATGGTTTAAATGCTGATTTTGATTTATTTAATTTCCTGTAAATATATTGTACTATTCTTATGTTTTTATGTGCATTTATGCTTTTACATGCTCTAATGGATTTATTTCTGAACCTTTTAAACATTCGCTGCTATTTCAATTTTTATTCATTATCATGTTCTATTCCCTTTTTTCCCCTCCCAATATGTCCATTTCCTTATTTGGCACTGTTCCACCAATATGGCTGCTACTCCTCTCGACGGAACTTCCTCTATATGTACCGCCGACATTTTCACTTCCCTGACGTCGGCCACGGCCACTGCGCGCGCCAACGTCCTGATTTCAATTATTTACCCGCCCACCTGCTTACCCGTTGGCCACACATACTTGTGTGCCAACGCCCCCTCACACTCCCACTTTACATGACGTCGGCCGCAGCTCTGTGCATGACGACGCCCATTAATTATATCTCCTTGGTCACACACATGCGTCCCTATACACTACATTTCCCACCAACGTCACGAAAGTTACGTGACTGCAAATAAACACCAAAATCCAAGCAAATAACCCTTGTTTTTAATTTCAGATTGCAGCACTAAGTTATCCCTATTGTGTATTTGTTATAAACATTATTTAAAATATGTTTTAAATTATTTTATTTTCCAAATGTAATTCTGTATTCATATTGGCTGCCCTTAGATTTGGCGCCAATTTTAATCATTTGTACACCTATTTATATGTACCTTGCCATATGTCATATCCTATATAAACAGCACTTTGTTCATTGTAATGTTGAACAGCACCCGAGTAAGACCACATGCAGTT